TCAGGGTGAGTGCTCTTTGCGTGTTAGCCTGGGTGCATGTTTCAGCTCGGGGCAGTACGTTTGCTAGTGCCGATAAGAATATGCATGGTGCTGCTTGTTGTGGGCGAGTTCGGGCAGGAGGCAGCCAGACACGAATTTGCGGACAAGCATTTGCGTGCGCCAAGGCATGGGATGAGTGTCCTTCGCGGGTGCGCATGGTTGCGTGCAGCCACCACAGGAAGTGGGTTGGGCTCTTCGTAATGCTGCGTGCAGCGTGCTGCGGGTTGTAGACGTGTTCGGCAGCAGACAGCCAGGTGAGGATACAGTTTCGAGCATTCGTGCAGATAATGGCATCAGCCACGGTGATTGGTTTTGCTTGTGAGCGTGGGGATGTTGCTCAGCCTGAGGAGGTACGTTTGTGGCTAGCGATTAGAGCGTGCATTATGGTCGGCGTTGTTGCGTTGCTCTAGCTGCAGCTGGGAACGGCTTGGTGTTCCAGGCTTTGCAGGCGTCAAGTCGTCGGGCAATGTTGAGCGCTCTTTGCGTGTTGGCCTGGGTGCATGTTTCAGCCCGGGGCAGTACGTTTGCTAGTGCCGATAAGAATATGCATGACGCTGCTTGCTGTGGGCGTGTTCGAGCAGGAGGCAGCCAGACACGAATTTGCGGACAAGCATTTGCGTGCGCCAAGGCATGGGGTGAGTGTCCTTCGCGGGTGCGCATGGTTGCGTGCAGCCACCACAGGAAGTGGGTTGGGCTCTTCGTAATGCTGCGTGCAGCGTGCTGCGGGTTGTAGACGTGTTCGGCAGCAGACAGCCAGGTGAGGATACAGTTTCGAGCATTTGTGCAGATCATGGCATCAGCCACGGTGAGTGGTTTTCACTTGTGCGCGTGGGGATGTTGCTCAGCCTGAGGAGGTACGTTTGTGGCAAGCGACTAGAGCGTGCATTATGGTCCCCGTTGTTGCGTTGGTCTAGCTGCAGCTGGGAACGGCTTGGTGTACCAGGCTTTGCAGGCGTCACGTCGTCGGGCAATGTTGAGCGCTC